CGAGACAGGTTGTGGGGGGGGGTTGATTGCGCGCGCGCACGTGCACGCGAGCATTAAGGGTTATTGCAGTGATGGCAGAGGAATTTCACTCGGTGGCGACACAACATCAGGGGTTTGTGCAGACTGACACTGGCAATCTAGCACACGGTGTGTTCAGGAATGATGTTTTTTTTTAGCGATTCAGGGATCTAATTTTGTTTTTGTGTCACAGGAAAGGTTTATTGATTACTTTGTCCACATCAAAATACTTGTTCAGATTTGCCTGCTGCAAAACAAACACTTGAATTTATATGATTCATCATTTATTAATTAAATCTATGGGCTGAATTGGGTTTCAGTGACTTCCATCGGAAAAAAATTAAGAAATATGAATCCACAAATATTTATTTACACCTACAACCCCAAATGATGTGGAACTTGATGACATTGCACTTCTAATCCCTGTGTGTGGTCTGCAAGGCAAACACCTTACTGGTCTCACGTCACTCCCCGTTCAGCCAACCATGAGACAGACACAGCTCTGTAGCTTGATCATTATTCTCAGCCAGTGATCCCAATCTAAACATTTAATCTAGGGGAACTTCAGCACAAAACTGCAGCCATAACCTTTAGTTTATTTTATTTTAATTAATGGATACTGTGGTAATATGGTCTAAATTGCTAGAAACAAGTCACAACGAGAATTTAAGGATTTATAACACAGCTCAAAACCTGAAACAATATTCAGTCCAACATTTATTTTAAATTTTGAGTGCCGATGTTTTCACTGACAGAATCCACAGATTGTAATTGTAATAAGGCCTATCTGTAAATATACACAGAGAGCAGAGCCCTGTGTGTGTTGCAGTTTTTACAGACCACCAATAGAGGCAGGTTTACTCTCTGCTCAAGCCCTACTATTATTTAATGTTCATAAAGCCTCTTGTCTTTATAGTCAACCCTTAAAACATACAATATATTAACATTGATACAACAACAATATACTTTATATATCAAAATATATAAAGAAACAAAACCAAAGAAGAAAACCTTAGACCAAGAAGTGTCTTCTTTCCCTTATCACCAATAGTCCAGCCGGTGAAATCGATGTGCTTCCTCCATTTAACACTCTTGTGTCTACAGTAAATGTTTCAAATTGTTTGTGGAGTCAGAGGTTAAAATGTAAAGAGAATTCAAAAACTGCTGGCTTATCTTTCTGTGCATTTATCTGAGCTTTAATGACTCATAATTTAATTTGTTTTAATCGCCTTATTTTCTCATATAAATAATAATAACTGAAAGAATTAACTGCATTGCTTATTACCTGACTCAATCACAGGATTACTTATTGAGTTGTATTTATTGATCACTGAGTTGCTGTTGTAGTTGCATTCACCAGCACCTCTTCCATCGTTAGATTTATCTCTACTATCAGCAACAGTCATGACAACTGGTCTGAAACACGAGAATGACTCGTTTCATTGCTTCTGATGCTCGGTGGCTTGTCATCTTCATTATTGCTCCTGTCTATTAAGAGCTTTGCTCACACTGCTTTCTTCTTGCTTCCCCCCTGTTCTTAGTTTTCCTCAGCAGCCATGTGATGTAGGAATTTTTGCTCATGTTGTGTTAAAATAAAGGAGCCTGACCTATTTAAGTCAGTGCTTAATGTGACACAGCAACACAAGGATCACATGCCTAGTCTAGTACATCTTAAGAGACACGTTGGGACAAATTCACATGCAGAAAATTACATACATTAGTACTGGAACCAGTTTGGTACTAGTTCTGTGTCCTTGCTTCAGAATAATGCATTGGTGGCTTTTTGGAGCAATGCGATGTTGGCCTACATCAAAACTGTGTCCAGATCTCAGCAGAATGAACCCAAGCAAACAGAACCTAATGTTGCACACTGCTGGGAGGTACATACTGTTAATGCAGAATGATGCAAACCAGCACCAGAGTCCGAGAAACACACAAAATAAAAAAAAAGCTTACTAAAAAGTTAAATTATTGTGGATAGGGTACTCAATGTTGGACTGATTTTGTTTAAATACTGTTGACTTTCTGATTCATTTTACTGCCCTTCATATTTTGGGTGATGTTCAGACTACAAATATGTATCTTGAATGCATTGATGTTTTGATGAAAACTAGCATTCACACCTTTTGTTGAATCTAACCAGAAATGAATATTGCTCATGTTGTCTGTAGATTTATAACATTTTTAATCATGAGTGTTCTGAAAAACACTTTTAACAGGGGAAAAAAATGGAAGAAACCTCTGGAAGAA